CTTTCATTAGGATCTGGACTGGCTTGACATTGACTAAAAGGTTGACATTTTTGGTAGGAAAGCAATTTCTGTGATCTTTCCACAGGCAAAGATCCTCTCAAGTATAAACATAGTGAGATGTGGCCTGCTAATAATTTTTGTAACAATATGTGCAGTCTTATTATTCTAAATAATACAAGTTAAATACAAGTTTTAGGCATATGTTTGATAATTTATCTTGCAGTTATTATATCTGCAATGAACAAGATCTAGATATCAAGTAAGAACTGGATTTTAAATTACATACTACTCTATAACAATTAGTTTTTTCTCTTGCTCTCAATTAAAGGAAAGGGCAATTTACCCTCAATTTTATGTGATCATGAAAATTCCACTAAGGTTTTTAGACTTGAACTCAGAACTTATGAGTCAATTAAAGAAACTATTAACTGAATTTTTACCTTTGATATTGTACCGAGACATTTACTTAAGGATTTAGTTATTTTTAGAATGACATTAATGTTTTCAAACCTTTGTCTTTAAGATATTTTCTATATGAAAAAGCAAAAATTTAATGATGTTCATATTCATCTTCACTTCAACTGAACTGTTCTAAATGAAGCGATCACAATATGTAGTTTACTTGATCAAAACTCACTAGTTAATTAGTTCCCTGGAGCATTTAAGAAATCAGAAATATATCAAACAACACACAGTTTACTTACAGCACTTTAAGACTGAAAAGGCCAGCAAATGCTCCCTTAGGAATGTATGTCAAGCCATTTCCTGCAAGACGTCTGCAGAGTTTGAAAAAGGAAAAGAAAAAAAGAGTAAATACTTTTTCTCTTCATGTGGAATTAATTTGGTTGTTAGAAGTGCAACACAGCTATGTTTGAACAACTGATGCCAGAGGCAGTAGTTTAAGAACCTTGTTTTGTCATTAATACACTTTTAAAAGCAAAAAAAAGAGAAGCTCTTAACTGTACGGTTGATTTACTGGCAGCTGGTCTGCAGAGACAAAATGCAATTTCACTATAAATCAAGCTTATGGTTTAGGATGCACATCTAATCCTTCATACTGTTTTTTTTTTTAAGGAGCAATCCCTGTAACTAAAATACAGATATAGTGACTACTATTAGCATTATCAGATTTAGAGGCACACAGTCTTGGAATTGTGCATATATGATTTCTGTGAACATTTAACTCAGTTGTGTGTTTAACTCGTTTGCACATGTTATCAAAATACATCCACATACTAATGACCACAGTTCATTTTACAGTAAGTGCACATAAAACTGCTGTACTGGTGGATTCATATTTTTACCTGTGAATAGATTTATCATGGGTTGGCAAAAAGTACAGCTGTTAAAATTTGTAGGGTTCTTTTCCCCCACTTCTATTGCATCTTCTTTCCTTCTCGGAAGGCCTCAAAGTATTTACAGACGTGGGTAAGTACAACAAATATCTTTTTCAAGTATGTTACTCTGCCAAAAAAGAAAGCATTCTCTAGGATTTGTGTCTAGGAGAGAGATTATATATTTAACGTGAAACAATAGCATTTGGATGTCCCCCATCAGTACAATCCTGGAGCGTCTTGCATTTAGCCTCCTTACATCCCAGTCCAGTGTGATACCTGCTTCACAGCAGGAAAACTGACTGGTAGGGGTCAGATTCCCAGTCAAGTTACTGTGTTAGCAAAGTCATACTGTCTGCTCTTAGCTGGCAACAAATATGGATTGACATGACTTGACTTAGATTTGCAGACCAAGTTAAGCCAAGTGGAATTACTTGATATTTCCCACCAGCTAAGATACTGCACATCAAAATTAGACAGTTACCGCAGACCAGCTGATGTGATGACAGAGCTGACATTTGATTTGGCATCTGCTCCCTAGGAAGACTAGCGGAACAGATCCACAAAACGCCTTAGGTGCTGAGTTGCCAGAGAGGAATCTACAGCACTGAAGTAGGCACCAGGGTTGGTTATACTGTTCATGGAGAAGACCAGGTGCTTGGAACTCCAATATGAAAGACCCAGAAATCTTTGGACCTTAAACCTTGTCTTCCTTTGTAGTTTAGTCGCCCCAGCTATTTCGGGAGAGGGGTCATGGGCACGTCTTCTTGAGATATTCCCCTTCATACAGAAAAAACAAGAGAGAAAAAAAAACTTGATTCTAGATCCCAGCTCCAAAGATTGTTGAGGCATTTTCAGTTTGTGGAAAGGGCCTTCCCTGTACACACCTGCCAAGTGATGTAACCTGCTACTCTTAGAAGGCAGCTCTTCCTCTGGTCAATGAATATAACTCTGTTCTGCAGAGAGGCTCAGCTTCAGACAGAACTGCCGAGCCTGTCTCTCACTTTGGAGTACTCTGGAGTCTGGTGTGCAGACATTTATCTGAGAATTGAACACGTGCATTTGAATTCCTGCAGGTAGGTGAAAGAATAAAACCTGGCTCAATCTTTCTCAAAGGCGAGCCATTCAAAGGCTGAGTGTATTTTACCTCAGACATGTGAAGGGCTTCTCCAACTTCAGCTTTCATTTTGAATTAAAATGGCAATGACCTTTGGGTTTTGGCTTGATCAGGTAGGTGTGTGCTAAGTTAGGCATGCCAGAGTGGGTCACCCAAAGTAAATGCCATCTTTAGATCACAGACTAGCAGCAGCTTCGGACCTGTCCAACGCTGATCTCAGTTTATAGTATGATTTTTTTAAAGAGACTAAAGACTGGTTCTCCCCGAAAACATCTGTTTTGGTCTGTTACTTTTACTGACACGACTGGACACGGGCTGAACCAGCAAGTGACATGTATGCAAAACTTGATTGGAAAAAGGTGTAGGTACAGGTAGTTAGGTTTTCGCTTTCAAATATAAGTGCCTGTTTTGAGTGCCACATGGAAAGCTTGATAAAGAGCAGGGAAATAAATTCGTATCTCCAAAGACTCTGGTTAGTGGTCTGTTAGTCCGCTATTCCTTTTTAAGAGTGGCTGACTTAGGGATAGATAAAAGGGATTTATGCTGCAGCAATTTTCATCATTGTCACAATTCAAACTGCCAAATACACTGCATGTTCATACCTCCTGTTCGAACTGGAATATTCTTTGTAGAAAGTGTTTAACTAAGAAAATCAGACCTGTTTAAGAGCTCCTGGAGAAGGAGTCGGGCAATTCCCAAGCATGCTCCTCCCTTTTCCAAATGTAGGACTGTGACAACTAAACTAGGACACTACGCAGCCTTAACGTTTTGTTTCAACGTTTTTGTTTCAGCTTCAGAGCACCACCATATCTCTCGGTGGTAAGCTACAGCTTAACGTTTGGAATTTTTTGGAAATGGATTGTCATAATAATTCTAAAAACATTTTTACGGTTCCTGTAATATATACCTAATACATTTAGAAAGCGATAACTGTGCACAGGGACACACATATACCGGTATGTGGTACACACCTCACTGACATTCAGGGTGGTTTAATGGGATTGCACTGCACGAGGTTGTATTTGAACTGTTTTTTGATGGCTAAAACTCTTCCATGTAACTTTTTTCACTGCTTTCTTTTGTGGCCAGGTTTTCTGTCCAACTGTCTTCAGGAGAAGATCTGCCAGAGTACACTCTTGTCATTCAGATTGTAAGCTCCATTTTGATCTTCTGGCCACCCACAATATACCATGCTAAGAGCCTGATCCCTCAACATGGCCCCATTCCCAGCACCTTTCACAGGAATAACCAAAGCTGACAGACAGTTGTAAGTGAGGGATAAAGACTCATGTTCCTGAACTGTTCTAAATCACATTTTCCTTGGCACCAAAGCCAGGCTAATCACCTATACTCTTCCATGAGGCTACCTTTTGAGGCTACTTTCCCAGTCCTTTAGAATTCCAGTGATATTTGGCAAAATCATCAGTAATGATTCATTGGGCTCATTGGCTGAATCTTTCAATGCTCTTGAATGAAATTTAGCCGGCCAGTTCTTTAAGATATGCTGCAGAGCCAATTCAATTTGGCTTACTTGTCCCTGACCATTTCTAACGCCTTCCTTGTCTTTTTTTTTTCTTTTCTTTTCATACTATTACTGTGCTTCTCTCCTCACTCTTGGCATAGGGGGAAATCAACCTCTTTGTTGACACTACAGGTATCTGCCAAGTATCTATCAGGATTTACTCTTCTCCAGTTCAAGTGTTTCATTTTCCTTTACACTAAGCTATTTGAGAGAAGCTGCACAATACTTTTACTGAACTTTGGATGGACTCTGGGTAGTGATTTCAGTCTGCATGGGTAAATATCCCCTTCCCTGAACAGATGAGGATGGATATATTATCTGTCTCTACAG